CCCTCCTGAAGCCTGCCGGTGAAGGCCTGCTACCCCACAGAGAACTGCAACCAAGACAAAGCCTTTCACCTTAAAGCTTCACAAGGAGAGAGAATCCAAGGGGCTCCACTCCAACAACTGCTCCCACGCTGCGCCTTCCTGAGTGCCATCATCTCGTCAGCTCATCAGCCTCTGCAACCAACTGCCAAGACCCCCCCCCCCCCACTCTGCAACCAAGTAAACCAACTTCCTTTCATTCTAACAACCTAAGCTGTTCTGTTAACCTGCTATATGACTTTAGAGTCGTGTTTCCACAAACTTTCCCTTTTAAGGTTACTCATTCAAATCCGGTCATTGCATTTCCATAATTATATTGTTTGTTTCTATTCCGTTACTTCGTGTTTGTTGTTTGTGTTAGGTGTAATGTCTGTCTTATGTTAATTGAAGTGTTAGTTAGGAATGAATGCATGCCTTTTACACAACTTCAGCCTCTGTTAATTGAGTGCTCACAATAGTCCCTGCCTCTGTGCGATCTTGCTACACGCTCTGAAATGTCAAACTCGCCTGAAACATCGCGAGACTCTCTCTCATCGGCCGTGAGGGGAGCTTCGCTACCAATCGTTTACATTACCTGGTGATGCAGCTTGCTGGACGAGCCTTCTAACCCAGGTTACTAAGCGATACTGGTAATTAGTGAATCCCATTTAAGTCTCACATTAACAGACGCACGGGGATACCGCAACTGAGTTTGGAGGAACCAACCATTCGACACAACAATTAATTAATAATCATCATTAAATAATAATTAATAAAAATGTAATTAATTTCAAGACATATTAGTGGAGATATTAAAATTTACCTAAGCTAATGATTCCTACACCAGAAACATGGATCGGTAATATAGATGGACCGCTGCATTTCCATTATGGTCCACTTCCCTTTTGACTTTTGCATTCATGTTGTGGCTTTTGTATTTGTGTTGTGGCTTTTGCATTGGATTGATCCATCTGGGCCACCGTGCAGAGGGCTATTCCAATCACTGTCTTCAAGAACTGAGCATTTCTGATTTTCCAGCAATACAATGTGGCAGAACGTCACAGCCTCATTTCAACTGTTTAACTTGGAAGAAAATGGTGCAACTGATGGCCACCAGGGATAGCAAATTGTTTAAAGTTTTATTCAGTTTTCATCACAATAATAACAATATTTTATAAAGGGAGGACAAAGTACAACAAACCAACATCACGCTAATTGGAGTTGAATCAAAATTATTGTTGCACTTTGAATTATTGTGCAATTTAACAATGACGATGTATCCTGAGAATGTATCCTGAGAACGTAAAATAAATACATTTCCATATCCATTATATTTATACTTCAGTTTGGAAAGTAATTCAAAGTATAAAAAAAAATCCTGAGACTTAATTTTTACGGCATATCACCCAGCCTCTTATTACGTCGTACTGTTCCACTCACTGTGAATGCTGAATGGGTGGCTTGGTAGGTAATGAGTAACACCAAAACACCTGTGGGGAAACACACTGCCTTGTCCAAATNTGCTGAATGGGTGGCTTGGTAGGTAATGAGTAACACCAAAACACCTGTGGGGAAACACACTGCCTTGTCCAAATGCTTGCTGACTTGGGAAGAAACACTGAGAACTTATTGGGATGAAATCAACAGACTACAGCTGAACTTTTACTGATAGCTGCAATGCCAGCTCTTCCTACAATGGAGGTGTGCAGAGCCACCGTCTATTCTTTGAATCTTTCAGGTTGTCTAATGCAAACTTTTCCTCCGACTTCCCCAGTTTACCCAGTCTGTGATGTGTGTCTGTTCAGTAAGCGGCTTCCCCGTGTGGCAAAAAGAGTGTTTGTGTGATGATTACTTAAGCATCATCAGTTAAAGCAGATCATGACAAGCCATTGTGGACTCAAAGATTACACATTCGTTAGAGGCACAGCGTTGAAGCCTGGCCCTGTTAACATAATAAACATCTGGCGGTTATATGTCTTGTCTTTAGTATGTGCATATTTAGCTCCTGACAAGACTGAGAGTTTTAATTAAAGCACATCGTATTGGGAGTTTTTGAATGGGATTACACAGGAGGACATTTTACAAAGTAACTCGCGATAGTGCCATAAAAAGAAGTGAGTCTGTCTGTAAACAATGGCACATGGTGACAGTAAACCCCAGAGGTTGTTTATCATGTGTAGGCTATAAAGAATCAAAGAATATGTGTGTGTAGCTATATACAGTATACTGTAAGGCAGTGATTCTCAACCCATGGGTCGCAGCCCAAGTTTTGAAATGGTCATGAGGCAGAGTTGTAAATGCAAGCATTTTAAAACCAGCAAGCGCCTAT